AATCACCTTCCCCTAGAACCACTTAAGATCAGGAAGAGAATTCTGTGAACTGGAGAAGCAAACACGGGTTCCCAAGTTTGCGTGGGAGTGCTGGGATCCCAAGGCCCAGGGATTGGTATGGAAAGGTAGGAAATGGGCTCTGGGTGGGCATATGTCCCTTTGGTTTAATTCATTCCTCCACCTGTGGTTGGAGGCAAGGGCAGAGGAGGCCCCAAGGGGCAAAGAGGATGGTCCTCAGGCCAGCAGCCTCCCCATCACCTGGGAGCTTGCCTGGACGTGTAGTGACTCAGGCCCTTCCACAGACTCTGGAGATCACATTCTGCATTTTAACAAGGTCTCTGGGTGACCCATATGCACGTTTGGTTTAAGAAACACTGCTTCAGGAGCCCTCTGTCTAGTCCCCTCTTCATAAACCAAGAGTCTGAGGCCAGCTAAAGCACAGGTGGGGTGTGTGTGTGTGTGTGTGTGTGTGTGTGTGTGTGTGTGTCCAGGTTGGGGCTGGGAGCATACTTCTGGGCACCTTGCTATTCTCTAATGGTGAATATCTTCCAAAGCAAATTTGAGGAAAAAAAAATATTTTCCCAGTAACTCAGATTGACTTGCTCCTAGAATAAGAGATTTATGAGTGATCCAAGAAAGAGAATTCCAAAATCCTGGGCAAAGCAATTAAAGGAAAGTTGGTGATAACTCCTCACTGCAGGAAAGAAGTTGAGGGAGAGTTGAAAAGCTTGTTTTCTATTTTATTTCTGGATCCAGTGCAAATCAGCTGGAGGAACTTCCATAGCCAAAATTAATTGTCACTTTTAATTTACTTGTTCACTTCTGTATTCCTTTGGCCTTTTCTCCTCCTTTCCTGAGTACATTTTAGTCCCCCCCCCCCCTTTTGATGTACCCATTTTGCCATTTTTGCTTCATGTCTCTGTTTTCACTTTTCTCAATCTTTCACTTTGCTCCAAAGAAAATCAAGCAAAGAGAAGCAGAGAGGACAAGGTTTAAAAAACATGGTCTGGTGCTAGTTTTGTACTGTTGCAAATTTCTATCAATTAAAAACAAGAAGTATTTTTAACAAGTAATTTTTATTCATACATAACAAATAGAGTTGCATTTTGATTTTTATAAGTACCTTACAACCAGCTACAATTATTAACTCATTGCCAATTGTGTTTCAGTTTTGTCTCTTCGATCTTCACATCTCCATTCTCTCTCCCTTCTCCCCTCCCTCCCTCCTTTGTCCCTCCCTTCCTCCTTTTCCCTTCTTCCTCCTCCTCCTCCTCTTCCTCCTCCTCCCTTCTCTCTCTCTCCCTCTCTCTCTCTCTCTCTCTCTCTCTCTCTCTCTCTCTCTCTCTCTCTCTCTCTCTCTCTCTCTCTCTCCCTTCCTCCTCCCCTCCCTCCCTCCTTCTTCTCTCATTTGTTAAAGCAAATCCCAGACGTCATATCATTGAACTCATTTCCTATACAATTTCCTGGAGGTAGGGCCACAAGAGAATGTAGGCTGAAGAAGTGATCTCTTACGATTTTCTTCATCAAAATATGGAATTTGTATTACTGAGATAAGGAGAAATATAGACTTTCTAAAACTGCTATATAATCCCTCAGATGGTGTAGATCTTATTTTCCATCTCCACACTCTCCTCCTAGAGTCTTGAGGGAGATCTATGAGAACTTTTTTTTTTTTTTTAATATTCTTTTATTATTAAAGTGGTCACAGAATAATAGAAACTTCGGGTGTTTAAAAACCCAAGAGGAAGTGTCTATTCTCTTCCTGTGCCCAAAGAGCTTTCAGAGACCATCCCTTTTGCAGTGAAAATTCGTCCATGTTGCCTAGCCGCATGGCTCAGTGGTTGAGCTTTGACCTAATGAACCAGGAGGTCACGGTTCAATTCTGGGTTAAGGCACATGCCCGGATTGCAGGCTCAGTCCCCAGTGTGGGGTGTGCGGGAGGCCGCCTGTCAATGATTCTCTCTCGTCATTGATGTTTCTATCTCTTTCTCCCTTCCTCCCTGAAATCAATAGAAAAATTTGTCCACGTAAAATTTGAGGAGATAATCTGTGTCAAGGAACCAAACACACGCCCCATGTAGTCCTGAAACAGATCGTCATAATGGTTTAAAGGCACTTTGGATCAGGATCGAGATATGAAAGCATGGCGTACATCACATCTATGGAGTATCAAATCATTTGAAGGTCTGGTTATTTTTCCTTAGTTAATATCCAAGGAAATTTGAGTTAAATACCCTCGAAATAAGTCAAATAGACAGAGGCTTTGACTGAGGGAATTAATTATGCCGGTGTGCTAGGGAAAAGAATCCCACTGTGGCATGGGGAATGTAATTAATGGGAGGTGAGTGCCAACAAATCACTCCTTAAAAATATTAATGCTATCAAAGAACAGCTGGATAATGAGAGAAACTTGACCCTTGGGGGACTCGCAGGGGTTGCCGTAGCTACTAGAGAACTTTATGCAGTTGTGATGTAATGGAATTCCTCTCCATTTAACAAAAATAATATTAAGAGGTGTGGTTCTGGACAAGTTATGAGCCGTAAACACGTCTTTGTAGTTTTATCATCTTATTATAATCACCATGTCTCACTTTTGCTGTGGTTCTAAATGACTTTCCCTCTTAATTGCTCAGGATATATATAACCCAAACAACACTCCTAAAAAGCAACTTTTAAAGAGCCCCTTTTTGTGTGTAAATAAAAACACAGCATCCGAGTCATTTCTGCAAAAAACAATGCCATATGCTCAATTTTTAAGTCAAGAAAAACTATCCCACTGTGTGTGGATGAAAGCCTGAGTTTAATTTGGTTTTTCTTTATAGCTTCTCATTGTCCCAAGGAAAATCTAAGCGAGCAATAAAGTTAAATAGGGATTTACATGGTCCTACTGAACATCTGAAGTGTTGGGTGTTATTTTGACATTCGCATAACTCCATGCTAATCCTGATGTTTAAAATCAGAAATCAGAAGTAGTTCTTGACTTGGGGTATACATTTAACTTAGATTTTAAAAAAGAAACCTCTCCCTTCAGTGTACATATATATATATTTACGCTTCTCTGAGCCGGCTCTTCGGGAAGCCCTGGGCGTGGTGAATGCTTTTTTATGATCGCACATTTTCATGTCTGGTCACAGCACGTTTTGTCTCTTTTGGTTCACTCAACTCAACCAACATCTAAATCAGGGTCGCGGGCATTCAGCGCGTTTGACAAACCGGTTGAGATACGCGGGGCCGGGTAGTGGTCACACAGGCCAGCGCAGGATGAGAGGAAGTGCAGGATGCAGTAAAAACAAATTCTCCAGTGCAGCCCGGGTTTCACATAACACCCGTTTCACAAGGCACTTAAGCCGCTGAAGGAGCAGTGCCCCCGAAAATAGCACACAGGGGACGCATCCTTTAAAGAAATGTGTTTCTCTGCCCGAACGGGAGTTCAGAGCTGCTCGATTATCATCCGTTTTGTTCTTTGATTTCCTCCTCCGCGGGGCGTGAATGGAGTCGTGCTCTTTGAGGTTTTGCAAGTTGCCCTGGCGGGTGAGTAGGGTAACCCCTTGATTCTTCACTCAGCGGCGCGCAAGTTAGGGGGTGTGGGTGGGGAGAGAGAGAGTGTGTGTGTGTGTGTATGTGTGTGTGTAAAAGTGTGTGTGTGTGTGTGTGTGTGTGTAAGAGTCTGTGTGTGTGAGTGTGTGTGAGTGTGTGTGTAAGAGAGTATGTGTGTAAATGTGTGTGTGAGTGTGTGTGTATGAGTGTGTGTGTGTAAATGAGCCGGCTTGCTGCAAGGTGGGGGGGGGGGGAGAGGAGAGTGGAAACACTTGCAGTCTCAGTGCACATATTGGCGGCCCGCAAACATCCTGTTATCCGTCCATAATCCTTGGAACAGGTGTCCTAGGAATGAGTGCGGATGGCGCCACCAGCGACAGAAGAACCTACAAGCCTCAGCCCCCGCTCAGTGTTTCCCAAAGTGTGGTACACGTACCCCCAGGGGTATGGGAAGAGTTTGGTGGGGGTACGCGTTGCACCGGAGTTTGGTGGGGATATGCACTGCACCGTGCTTAGCTGCGCCTAATTCTCCATTCTCATGAGTACGAGGGGTACTCAGCGTGACGAAAATTATAGAAGGGGTACACATATGTCAAAAGTTTGGGAAACACTGAATAAAAAGCATCAGCCCGCGTCCGCACCCTCGCACCGCGCGCGCGTGGATGGACACAACCCGGCGGCCCTCTCCTTCCTCCTGCGGGAGTCTCTGAGCTGAGCAGGAGTTGGGGTGGGTGTGTGTGGGGAGGTGCCCGGACTCCTCGGGGTTAGAGCCCAGGCGTGGGGTGCGCGGTGGGCGGGGGTGGCCGGGGAGGGCGGAGGGTGGCGCGCCCTCGGCGATTAGCTCCAGCAGCGCGATCCGGGAGGGCGGACTCTTTCCTCACTCACCCCCCCCCCCCCGCCCCAGCTCCCCTCCCTCCTCCCTTTTAAAAGACGCCGTGCTGGCTGAACTGTCAGCAACCGGAGGCCCTTTGTACCGGCCAGGCCGGCTGACTCCTGCTCCCGGACAGACGGGGGGCAGGTGCCGAGGAGCCACACGTGGGGGGACCTCACATTCTCCCTCCTGGGGCGCCGCTCGGACCTGCAACGTTGCCCGCCGCGGGCGCGATGGCCCCCGGACGCAGTGCACGGGGAGGCGGCCTAGGGTTCGACGCGGCCCCCGCGTCGGAAGCGTCGGGAGCGCTATGAGCCGGGCCCAGGGCGGCAGCAGCGGCCCCCGCATCGCCTCCCGCCTGCGTCGCCCGCGGGCCCCCGTCCCCCAGCCCCCGTCCCCGGGCCCCCGCGCACCATGCCGAGCCCCGGCCCGCGGGCGCCCCCGCGCAGCCCTTGCAGCCTCCCCGGCCCCCGATAGCTAATCCCCCCGGAGCGGCCGCGGCCACCGAGGGAGCCTCCTGCGCCCCGATTCCCGCTCAGCCCTCCGCTCTCCCGCCGCGCCCCCTCCCTCCCGGCCGCCCCGGAGCGCGGCCATGGGGGCGCTGCTGGCGCTGTGCCTGCTGCTGGGCGGGCTGCGCGGGGGCCCCGCGGGCGCGCAGCCGGCCGGGGAGTACTGCCACGGCTGGGTGGACGCGCAGGGCAGCGACCACGACGGCTTCCAGTGCCCCGAGGACTTCGACACGCCGGACGCCACCATCTGCTGCGGCTCCTGCGCGCTGCGCTACTGCTGCGCCGCGGCCGACGCCCGCCTGGAGCAGGGCGGCTGCACCAACGACCGCGGGGAGCTGGAGCACCCCGGCATCCCGGCGCGTGAGTGCGGGTCCCCCGCCCCGGCCGGTCCCGCCGACCGCCGGCGGCTGGTGTGAGGGCGGGCGGGCTGGCGGGCGCACGGGGCGGGCGGACGGGGAGGCGCCGGGTCTCCCCGGGTCGGTGCAGAGGGGGCGCAGGGAGCTGGAGAGGCCAGGACGGAGCGGGTGGCCCCGGTTCAGGTCAGGGGGTCCAGCCCTTTTGCAGCCCCGACTCCCGCTCCTCGCGGTCCTCGCGAGCTGGGCCAAGGGGTAGTTTGCCGGGAGGCTGGCCCCGGTGACTCGGGGGCAGACGGCTGCGGCTCGCGGGCCCTCCGGGGGCTGCAGAGAAGGGCTGTGGGGGCAGCCACCAGGCTGGCCTTGGTTTGGGGGGTGATGAGGGCGCCCCATGGCGTGCCCCATCACTCCGCAGAGACGGCAGCTCTTGGGGCGCGCTCCTCTGCAGCCCCGCAGGGCCAAGGAGCTTCAGCCCCCGCTTTTGTGGTCCTTTGGTGGCGTTTCTAAACCGCTCTCCCATTTTCCGACTTCCTTTCACTCCTCTGCATCGAATTACCCCGGGCGGCCCGCCCCCCATTGTCACGCCTTTCAGGACCGCGGGGTCCGCGCGGCGGAGACGGAGAACCAGGGTCGCAGGGCCTTCCCCGCCCCCTATTCTCACGTCGGAAAACACGGGTCAAATTTCCGCTCACTTCAGAGCGGAATAAATCACAACCCCGGCAGCGAAACTTTACACGCTAGGAAAAAAAGAAAAAGAAAAAAAAAAAGCTTTCCACCTGAGTCAGAACATCAGGGAAACCCTTCAGAGCCCCCGGCCATGGCTTTATGGCCCGGAAACCCGAGGGGCGGGCGCAGCTGGGCGCCCCGCACCCCCGGGCTGAGCGCCCCGCACCCCGGGCTGAGCGGCCCGCACCCCGGGCTGGGCGCGGAGGTCGGAAACCTGCGGGGGAAGGTCCAGCCGGGCGAGGTGGAGAGAGAATGAATGAATAAATGAATGAATGGCGCTGGCGCTCTCCTCCTGCCTCCCCCCCCCCCCAAGAGAGGGAGGGTAACCCACAGGAAAGGGGGCCCGCTCGCCCCCAGAATTTCATTGGACTTTCAAGAAATGTAGCTTTGGAGATCAGGCTACCCAGCCCGGAGGATTCGGGAAGCGGAAAAGAGGGAGCTCTAGGCAGATTGTTAGAAAAATACACATTTCTCGCTTCGGGAGACCCAGTGCTCTCCATAGACACAGGGTGGGTGTCAGCGACCAGCCTGCTTCGGGGACTCCTTCCCGGGACCCCTTGGCTCTGCTCAGAGAGCGCAGCCTCCGCGCTCCCTGAGGCTGGGGTCTGGCAGGCTCTCCCGCTGTGGCTCTGTGGTCTGCCAGCTGTGCCACCTTGGGCAAGTGACTGAACCGATCCGGGTCTCTTCTCTTCCCTCCAAGAAGCATGCGGCTCTCGGAGGCAGGTTGGGGATGGCAGGAGCCTGCAGGAACGCTGGGCAGCGCTCAGTCCTATTCGCCCTGCCTTCCTCAGGTGTCACTCAACATGGCCCAATTGGGGGGGCGGGGTACTGAGGAGCTTACACCCAGGAGCCCACAGAACGTGGGGGTTGACAGTTCCCCAACACTCACTGCCTGGGCGAATGTAGGAAACTCTCCGGTATCTTCCCGTATCTGGAAAATACGGCATATCATGCCCAATAGGGCATATCATGCCCACCCCATGGGACCTGAATCAGGTGACACATAAAGAAGAGCCACACGGAGATAGGGCCTTGGTCAACGCGGGCTTTCTTTCTTCTGTCTCCAAGCTGGAGGTTGCCTGCAGGTGCGGCTCTGTCAGTCAGGGGGTGCCTCTGGGGTGGGAAATGGCCTGTCTGCCTTGTGGAGAGATGAGGAAATGGGGGTTTGCTCTGTGGGAAGGATGCTCTCCCAGGAAGTCTGGGGCCACCAAGGCCGAGGATCGCATCATGATCTCCCGAAAGTTCGGCCTATCGTGCCAGAGTTTGAGTGGGAATGGAGAGGCACGCATGTGGCTGCTGAAGTAGGCATCCCGACTTATTTCTGGAAACATCCAGAGATGACCATTTGTGATGCATTAGGAGACACGGTTCGCTGGGGCCCACTGCGGGTTTCTCCGCTCTGTTCTCTCCATAGCCTGGCACATTCCGGAGGGTCTCATTCCACAGGCCTCGTTCTCTTCACGTAGATGGGAGACCTGGGATGGGAGATGGATTTTCAGCCCCAGATAGGGCACAAAGCCCTAATGGCTCACTGTGATAAAACGACTAAAGCCCGGATTTAGACCCACAGTTACAGTGACCGAGAAAAACCCGCCGTTTCCTTTCCGCGGTGCGCGAACAGGCTGGGGTCTGTTCCTTCTGACTTCCAGATGTGCAAGATGATGGCTAATTGCTAACAGAGGCCACAGTATCTGTTTCCTTCCTCTCCGCGAGGAGCGAGACTATTCCCTCATCGCGGTTCACACTCTAGGAGTTCCCAGTAACCAGCGCTGAGAAGTTGGGCTGGCCAGTTGGGAGCACTGAGCCACCCACTTCCCAGCCCCAAGCTTCCCGGAGTTTTGGGGGACCCCTGTCCCAGCACCTGTCTATGTCTCTCTCTCTCTCTTTTTTTCCTTTTAGAGCCTGTCTATGTCCCTTTCCTGATTGTGGGCTCCATCTTCATCGCCTTCATCATCCTGGGCTCTCTGGTGGCCATCTATTGCTGCACCTGCCTGAGACCCAAGGAGCCCTCCCAGCAGCCAATCCGCTTCTCCCTCCGCAGCTACCAGACAGAGACCCTGCCCATGATCTTGACCTCCACGAACCTCAGAGCTCCTTCCCGGCAGTCCAGCACGGCCACCAGCTCCAGCTCCACGGGGGGCTCCATCCGCAGGTTCTCCTTCGCCAGGGCAGAGCCGGGCTGCCTGGTGCCCTCGCCACCCCCGCCATACACCACGGGCCACCCCATCCACCTGACCCAGCCGTCCGGCTTCCTGGTGTCACCCCAGTACTTTGCTTACCCACTCCAGCAGGAGCCCCCACTGCCTGGGAAGACCTGTCCAGACTTCAGCTCCAGTTGATAGGCCCGGCCATAAACCCAGCCAGCATGCAGCACCAGGGCGGAAGGCGGGACGCTGGCTGCTGTCATTGCCACAGATGTTGGCGAGGAAACATCTCTCGAACCCAGCGGGGCCGTGGAGGAGAGTGCTAGGAAAATACGGCCCTTCCTAGCCTCCAGGCTCCTGGCTGCCGTCACAGAATGACTGTGTTAGGTCATTGCTTTCTGGCTTGGAAAACATGGTGAGCAGTACATCTCCATGTACGCGACTTTTACTCAGAAGGTACTGTAGTTCGGACATCACAGTTGCACACAGGTTGGAGATGATTTATTGGACAACAACTCAGCTGTACTGTTTAGTAAAAGTCTACATGTTGTTTTTTCATTATAAGTTGCTTAGTGAGTTATCATACAAATGTATGCATACATAAGAAAGGGCAGTACCTGGTTGTAGGAGTTATTATTGAAGGTCCACTTAAAAGAATTAACTACTAAGTAAATGGAGGGGACTGTAAACAAGCTATTTATGATTTTTGGGAGCCACCTAACCATGAATAATAATTAGCACCATCAGAAACAGTTACTTTTAAAATTAACGATTACATTGTGTTTAAACTGTAAGAGCTTTTTTCAGAATACAAGATTTCGATAACCACAGGAGGCGTTTAAAGTGCTCAGTATTTACTCAGCTATTCATGGGAACACAGGATGTACGTGAACGTGTTTCCCCCCCAACCCACCGGAGGGAATATTTATTGCAGACTTTTTGCTCAGCAATCTTTTTTTCTGTGTAAGTGAACGTTGGACGGTTGGGTCTTAAAACATATGTAAAATGTGTTATGTACAAATGTAAAGATTTATAATTTAATGGATTTACCACATTGACGGTACTAATTATTTAGTAGTCACACTGTAATTTGTTACGTTAATATTAACTGTGGAGTTCAAAGTCCAGCTACTGGTTATAATCATCTAATGTTACATATCGCAAATGCCACTGAGTTCCATGTCTGATGTGACTATGCATTTGGGCATGTATCCTGCTGGGTTAGAATAAATAAAATACTTGTTTTCGTGAAATCTATTTGGAAATTTTAGAGCAAAGCGCTTCATTTTATCTCTTTAATGATACTCTTTGCTATGCAATAAAAAGAAAATTTTTTACTTAACACTTCGTATTTGAAATGAAAAGAAAAAAGGTCTCACATTGGTTTTGAGCTCCAGTAAGAAGCGATTTCCTACATTGGGCTCATGAAAGCAGTAAAGGAAGTGAATTTTTCTCGAGGATCAGCTGATGGGTTGCATGCCGCCCTCAGATGTGTTGGGCTATTTCTCATCCTAAGAATCTGGATTTCTGGCTTCTTATGACCCATAGAAGGTGTGTACTGCCTGAGGCTCAGACCAGCCCTTTTCGGACAGAACACTTGACATTCGCCAGCCTTCTGCCTGGTCCCCCCTACCTGTCTGGTTCCCCCTACCTGGCCCGTCCCCCTCAGTTGTGTTGCCTGTCTGGCTTGTAGATGCTGTTTGGGAATCCAGGCCTATGAATTCCTACTATCATAGGTCACCCTTAGCAGCTCTTTTCAAACCTAACTCGATAAAGTAAAACTCTGACTCAAGAGTCTGTTGGGCCTACCTTTCTGAAATAAGTTTAAAGATACTGGGCCTTTGCCCAGTCTAATGGCCCAGGAGCCCTGACTTCCAGGCTCCTGCTTTCTTCTGTATCTCAAATTAGCCCCCATAGCGAAGGAACAAAAGGAAGAAAGGAAGAACCAAGGGGAAGGGAGAGGAGGAGGGAGGGAAAGAGGGAGGAGCAGAGGAAAGATTGAGCATAAAAGGATGTACATGTGAGAACATGCTCTGGAACACATTCTTATGTCATTTGACTGGTTTTATTCATGTTCGTTAAATATGGCTCTCTCTTTTTTTAAATATATTTTATTGATTTTTTGCAGAAAGGAAGGGAAAGGGATACAAAGTTAGAAACATTGATGAGAGAGAAACATCAGTCAGCTGTCTCCTGCACACCTCCCACTGGGGATGTGCCCACAACCAAAGTACATGCCCTCGACCAGAATCGAACCTGGGACCCCTCAAGTCCACAGGCTGACGCTCTATCCACTGAGCCAAACCGGTTTCGGCTAAATATGGCTCTTTTTATATATTTTTTAAAAAATATATATTTTATTAATTTTGTACAGAGAGGAAGGGAGAGAGATAGTTAGAAACATCGATGGGAGAGAGTCATCGATCAGCTGCCTCTTGCACACCCCTACTGGGGATATGCCCGCAACCAAGGTACATGCCCTTGACTGGAATCGAACCCGGGACTCTTCAGTCCCCAAGCCGATGCTCTATCCATTGAGCCAAACCGGTTTCGGCTCTTTTTATATTTTTAAGTTAATCTTTACATGGGCTCTTAGGAGCCACACACTATTGTAAGTATTTATATGCACTCACTTATTTTATCCTCCAAAAAAAGTCAACGGGGAGTTAACTGTAATTTCTATTTCACATTTGGAAACCAGCACAGAGAAGTACAGTAACTTTCCCAAGATCCCACAGGTTATTTCTCCATTGATTTTCAGAGAGAGCAGAAGGGAAGGGAAGAGACAGGGAGAGAAACATCTGTGTGAGAGAGACATATCGATTAGTTGCCTCTCGTACGGGCCCAACCAGGGCCAGTGATTGATCCTGAAACTGGGGTACCCTTGACCTGGATCAAACCCCAGACCTTTCAGTTTGTGAGCTGATATCCTATCCAGGGGGCCAAATTGGCTAGGGCTGCTTTGAGGTTTGGATGCTTCCATGCATAAAACCCACTGCAGAGCAGAGCCTGAGGCCCAGCTCCTCTCTGTAAGGCAGAGATTGTCAACTCTGCTGGAGCCAGTGAGCTCTCCTTGGAACAATTGTTTTGTGACATTTCTTGAACTGTCCTCATGTGAAATTCATAGATACCAGTACTCGCATTACACATATAATGTAACAATCCATACAATGTCCTAATGGTAAATAGAAAGAAGAAAGGAAAAGTCACTGATTTCAAAATATAATGGCTTGATTCCACCAACCAAGGACTCAGATGCAAACCTCTTACACAGGATTACCGACATGTAACACTTCCAAATCCAGACCAATGCAGGTTTTTTTTTTTTTTTAATATGTTTTTATTGATTTTAGAGAGAGGAAGGAAAGGGAGAGATAGAAACATTAATGATGAGAGAGAATCATGGATCAGCTGCCTCCTGCATGCCCCCTGCTGGGGATTGAGCCCACAACCCAGGCATGGGCCTTGACAGGGGATTGAACTTGACCTCCTTGTTCAAGGGTGGACCTCAATCACTGAGCACACCGGCCAAACCAGAATGATGCAAGTTTACTAAGCTGGCAACGCAAACACCACAGTTGCACTGCTGCTGTTTAAGTGATTTTTTTCCAAACAAAGTTTAATATTCTTTTGATTTGCATAGTTGTTATATATCTGGAAAATGCAGTGTATATTAAGGCAGCGCAAATATCACATTATAGGATAAATGGCATTAGGTTTTTACACCAAAAAGGAATGGTGGGACATTCCAAAGCCATGCCAAGAGACATCAAGTCTTGTGTGTGTGGACTGTCCCAGGTATTGCAGGATCTCTCCAATGAATGCCCGTAGCACACCTGCCCCAGCCCCAAACCTTAAGGAGAAAGATGCACCCACACAATTTCACAATGTCCTCTAGGGGGCAGAACTGCCCCCACTGATAACCATCTGTTTGTCAGGTTTCTCTAGAAGCTGTACTTTCATATGCTATCCCTTTGGGGAGCAGTTTTTATCTCGTAGGCAGGATAATGCCGAAGAATGGTGAAAGCTCACACCTGCAAACTTCCCTTCCTTAGCAGCATGCTCCCATCGGTCAAGTTCATTGGCTATAAGTTGCTTAAAATGAGGCCAGCATTGTGTACCTCAGGGGAATATGGCATTCAGTGACACTGAATCCAGTCATATCCCCACGTACTCGTTGACATCTAGTACATGTCTTTGAACTTCTCTCTGGGGACTAGGTAGCTGATTCTATTCTCATTCACATCCCGGGGGGGAAAGGCCATCCTGTGTCAGATTTGCAGGAATCGTCCCATTCAACAAGCATGTGTTGGGCACACTCAGGGTCAGGCACGGTGCTAGAGGATGGGAGTAACAAGGTGAATAACGTGCAAGTTTTTAAAAAATATCTTTACTGATTTCAGAGATGAAGGGAGAGAAACACCAGTGATGAGAAAGAATCATTGATTGGCTGCCTCCTGCATACCCCCCCATTGGGGATTGAGTCTGCAACCTGGGCTTGTGCCCTGATCAGGAATCGAGCTATGACCTCCTGGTTCATAAGATGATATTCAACCACTGAGCAACACTGGTTGGACTAACGTACAGTTTTGATTCAAGGAGGCACTTTTCCCATGGACGTAGGCCTGACAGTAACCATGTATGTTATGGGTGCCTTATAAATGAAACACGTTATCTTCCCTTCTTTCCAAGAGCTCACAGCTACATAGGAGATGAATCCATAATTGAACACTTAGAATTGCAACGATAGGGCAAGTGCATACGGAGCGTGCTGGCTGCCCAGGCAAAAGGGTGCCTCCCTCATTCTGGAGACGGTGAGGCTGCAGCTGAGCAGGGAGAGATGAGTGGGAGCCGAGTGAGGAAGACTGGATGGCCAGGGCGAGAAGAGTCTGGAAATGAGGGGAAGAGCATATTCGGCAAAGTACAGAATTCACAGGGAGGCAGAGAAGCACCCACCGTGTGAAAGAACAAGGAGCATTCTGGAAACTAGGCAAAGCATTCAAAGAAGAGAGTGTGGAGAGATAAGCAGTATAGTAGGTTTGCTTTAAAATGGCTGTTTCAACAGATTGTACTTTGCATTGTTCAAATGGAGAGACTGTTCCCTCTTATTTCCCCGCCTCTCTCCACTCTTTATTGCAGTCATTATTAGCTTCTCCTCATGGTGAAGAATTTTCCAGATTGACCTACGAGTAAGT